CTCGAGTTGCGTTTAGTAAAATTTAATTATTTAATTGAGCCCAAATTGGACACCGGAAAATTTGGAAGTCACAACGGGACATTAGGACGATGTTACGGTTGGAATGTACAGCTTCAGATTTTCCAGAATCCTTTAGAAAAATTCAATTTTGGCGAGAAATGAGGAAAATGACCATTTTGCCCTTGGGAATTTGTGAAGGGCATGTTTTATGAGGGAGGGGCATTTTGGTCATTTTGCCCTAACTTTTTGGTTGGACATTTTTGCCCTTGGAATTTTATGAAATTCCCAAATTGCCCTTGGATATTTTTGGGTAAGATTCAATCTCGGCCGTCGGTTTCAAGATAAGATCGAATCTGAGCCGTCGATTTGGATTATTAGAGAAGGGCAAAATCGTCATGTGCCATTTTGGTCAAAAATTTACTATTTAGGTCCAAGACCCATTCTCTCTCCTCACTCTCTCTCCCTCAAACTCTCGGCAGCTCTCTCTCTCTCTCTCTCTCCCCCTTTTCCCGGCCGATCGGCCCCCCTTGCCCGTACGCCGGCACCGCCGCTCACCGCCCGCCGTGCCTCCGCCCCACGCCGCCGTACCGCGCCACCATCACCCCCCCTCGCCACCGTCTCTCTCCCTCTCTCCCTCCCGCTCGTGTGGCCGAGAGCCATGGCCAAGGAAGACCGCCGCCGCTCGCCATCGCTGCCCCAAGCCGCGCCGCCGCTCGCCCGCCGTCCCCGTAGATTGCCGCCGTTTTTCGCTCTAGACGTGTTAGTCTAGAGTGTTGGTAAGTCGCGCCCTAAACTCTATTTAGGACGTCGGGTATCGACGGACAAATTTTGTGATAGAATCGGGTTTAGTTAGGTGTGGAATTGTACAATTTTAGGTGCGGAAATATTTGGCGGGCCTTAGGAATTAAATTGGGAATTTTGGTGGACATTTTGAGGTTGAAAGCGGGCTGTGGACGGCTGATTTAAGTGCTGTGATGTGCGGTTGGATGTTTGGTTAGTGCCATTAGGTCCGGCTCGGAATTTTGTGAAAATGCCGTGAAGGGCTGGAATTGATTCGCCGCAGTTTGGTTGGGGAAAAATGGTAATTTGTGTATTTAATGAGTGTTTGATCGATGGCTGAATTGTGGTGATAAAATTGAGTGCATGATTGTGCCATTGATTGATTGAAATATGCTTGTTGTGTGCACGCTCGGGCCAGATTGAATCGATCGTTAAATTGGCCATGTAGAATGCTTAGTGAGCATGATAAATGTGTGTGAATTGTTGCGTGCACGGGCCACGTGTGATTGGCCAACGGATTGGCAAGCGAGTGTTGATCATGTAAATGAGAAAAAGATTGTGTACAACGTGGCATGTGTGATTGTGGAAATCCCTGAGGCGGTATCACTACGCGGGGATGTTTCCGTCATGAGGCGGTACTACTACGCGGGACGATGCCCGGTATTACCGGAGGACGGCCAACCTGAGGCGGTACCATTACGCGGGTTGTGTCGTAGGTGGTAGGTGTTGAGCCTGAGGCGGTACCACTACGCGGGCGAGATACACGGCCTGAGGCGGTATCATTACGCAGGCCCTGGAGTGTTGTGATGAGTTGGTCGCAGTGAACCTGAGGCGGTACCATTACGCGGGTCACTGGCGAGTGATGTGGGAAAGAATGTGACGAGGCAAGCGGGAATGCGTAAAATGTGATTTGAATATGCATGTGATTGCATATGGTGTGATTATGACTAACGTGCAGGTTGCACGCAGGATAGGCACGGTAAGAATGAATGATGTGCCGCTATGTGATGACTGGGTGTGTGTGATTGTGCTTTGTGATTGTCTGGAGGTACGTGATAGCCTAGGTGGGGTTTAGGGGTGTACTTACTGAGATATAATCTTACGGTTGTTTCAACCAAACATTTCAGAACCCGGCAGGAGCAATGAATCCCCCGCCACCGCCACCTGAGCGTTTTGGAGTCCCAATGCACACCGAGCATGATGTCGTAGAGTTTCCTATGGATGACCATATGACCTGGATTAGGCACACCACCACAGTTTTTGTAGAGGTAGGATTACAATTGTGGGAGCCCCGTACATACACTGCTTGGTTCTTCAGGGACGAGGTAGATGAGTTCAGTCCCGTTCGAGGATTTGACGTCCCTTTTGACGGAGTCGGGGATTGGGACCCGTCTGCTATTCCTCCCCCGGATGGCGAATTGACTAGTGTGGAGACCAGTTTAGCGCAATCAGGGCAACACCCGACATCCGCAGCGCCAGGATCTTCAGGGTCTGAGCACGAGCCGGAGCTGGAAGAGTCTCTGGCGGGAGACAATCCTATGGACGCAGATCTGGAACCGATCCCAGAGGAAGAACCAGAGGAGGAGGAACCCGAGGATGTGCCTGCGGATCCGGAGGACGAGCCTGCGGAAGAACACGAATATATACTCCCGTTTGAGCAGTGGATGGACCCCAATTTTGTGCCCGAGGACGATTTCTTTGAGGAGCCGGTCGAGGAGGAACAGATCGAGATTCCAGCTGAGTCTGGTGATATAGACCACCCGATCGAGATAGAGGCAGAGACGGAGTCCTCGGAGGATTCAGCTGATCACGGAAGTTCAGGTTCAGAGGACGAGGAATCAGGATCTGAGTGGACGCCGAGTAAAGGGCGTAGGGGCTAGCGTAGGGGCTGGAATTAGACCTTTATGGAGGTGTACCATTTTTGAGGATAGGACATCCAGGTCATCGATCCTTTTTGAATATCGGTGATTTTTGTGGTATGGTGTGCATGTGTATATGGCGGATGTAGATTGTGAATATTATATAAGTTTGGATAAGAAATGAAAATGTATATTCTCCCTATTTATCCCAGTTTTTAATTGTCCGGGTATTTTGAGGTTTCCGCTGCTTATTCAAATCTCTGATATTTATAAGTGAGGTCGGCGATACCCTAGGATATCGCATTAATCGACCAGAGAAATATGTCGCGTGCTCGATAGGGATCGGGGCGTGACAATAGTGGAATGTGACTATGTTCTTCAAATGATTAGCGTAAGGTTTTGGCGCTTATGAATATCCCTCAATTTGTAGTTACATCTTCGAGCACCTTGAGTTTTAGATGCGAAGGAAGATTCATCGTTTGTGATATTGACTGTTGGAAGCGTGAGTGATTTTCAATCAAATCCTTGCAATCAACTATTTTCCCTACTTGTTCAAAGCTCAAACTCCTTCAACCGAGCAACCTAGTTTTCCAGCCTCCTTCAAACGGAGGGAGGCTGGCAAGAACAGTACCAATTTGAACTACGGAGTCAACAGGTTCACCAGCAGTTCGCAAGCCCAACACAGATGCTTTGGCCTTGTGTGTCAGAACTCATGAGACAGAGCAACGGTAGTTGTAGGACCACCAGCGAATATATTGAACAGATATGCCCCTAAACTTTTAGAGAGATTTGTCTCCCGTCATGGCATCGAACTACTGGGCTCGGGGGACCAGAAAAGGCACCATGAAATTCATGATTTTGTTGTCAAAGAATAATAGGGATACGTGCACCAAAAGTCTTAAATCTTGTGGTAAGATTTGTGTAATTCCTCTATGAGATTGGAAGATTATTTCATGAGGAATTATGGGGCTAAATACTACAAGAATTATTAAATGTAATTGGAGACTAGGAAACACTGAGAGTATTTGAGTAACTTAAGTGTGATTGTAATCTCCGTTATATTGCTTGATCTATGGTGAAATTATTTGCTGCTCTCCCCGTGGACATAGCCGAACCAAGTAAATCTGATGTTCGATGTATTTTCTCATTGTGTCTATCTTATTATTCGATCGCTTGTTTCCATAACATAAAGCATGGTTAGTGGCTTCTCATTTACCAAGACTCATAGGAAAATTATAATTATGGAGGACAATTACGAAGCATGGCTACTAAACTACTTACCACAATTTGAGTTATTTTATTAGTGCATGTTCCAGCCCGGGAGGGATGAATTTCTTTTATTTGCGCACGTATAATTGCTTTGCAGAATCACTGTTGAGTTTCAGTACCCCAAAACAACCTTGCTGCGTCGGTCGCATTTTAGGCCCTCCATCAATATGTTGGCATTTGAATGTGAAATATCATATGACAATTGCTAGTTGATCGAAGCGATTTGTTTTCCATTGCCAATACATTGTCAACGTTCATGTTGAATTCCGCGTGGTTTTGATACCGCCGTTAGCTTGTGGTTTGATGTATAAGTGTGTATGCGTGTAGGATATGGATGGCAGAGAATAGCAATGGGACGAGATATACATATTTTCAGGGTTTCATGGGACAAGGATAGCATGATTAGTTTGACAGAATAGTTGTACAAGTGATAGAGGAGCAATACAAGAGACGTGGTTTCTGGTTTCTGTATGTTTAGCTCCCCTCACGGTGGAGGACTTGACCCCACACGTCTACATGAATGAGCCAAGCCTTTTTATAGGCATTCTCCACCGACAAAGTTGAAGAGATAGGACGGAGAAAAAGGATACCGCAATTCGTGTGACGCTCACTTGAATGTCATCACTTTTTTTAGGAAATCATAACACTTAAGTGGTCGAAAAAAAGATTATGACACGTTAGCGTCGTACGAAAGTTACGACAATTGTAGCTTTTTTATGCTGATATTTTGGAGTTCTTCTACATACTTTTCGTGGGCGCCTCTGTTTTTTTTTTTTTTTAAATCACAAAATCCAACTACTCTTTGAGAGTTGGATTCTTATACACACACTCTCGTGGACAGCAGTAGATTCAACTACCCACTATTAGACTTTGGTAGTTCTAGGCATTTCTTTCAAAAATGGATCACGTTTCAACGCAATGAATGCGACAAATGCTTGAAAGAAAAGCAACACTCTCCTATTTTTTATTATTATCAAGGCCACGTTCATCAGCATGTGGCCACAATGACAAGAAATTCCAATCCAGGCACTATCCGGTGATAAGATTATCTTTCGATCTGAGTCGATGTGACTGTTACCGACTCCTTTTTTTTTTGTTTGGTCGATAATTGGCACCTACCGGCTCCTCCATGTTTTCTGCAGAATATAAATGGTCATATAGCCTCACCAGAAAGGACACGACTCAATCACCTGAATAGGCTTCAAAGTTTCCACTTACAAAGATGCAAACCTTGCCCAGTCATGGAGAACCCATCACCGGTAGCGGACCACACTACGACAGGGCGAAAGAAGCAAAGGAATTCGACGAGAGCAAAGCCGGAGTCAAAGGCCTCGTAGACTCGGGCGTGGCCAAGGTCCCCAGGCTCTTCATCCACCCACCCGAGAACCTGCGCGACTTGTCCCCCGACACTGATGGGGCCGCCACCGGCCTCGAGGTCCCAATCATTGACATGATGGGCTATCGGGATTCCCGGCGGCGAGACGTGGTCAACGAACTCTGTAGAGCATCCGAGACGTGGGGGTTCTTCCAGATAATCAACCATGGTGTTCCGGTTGACGCGATGGACGGCATGTTGGAAGCTGTCAAGCAGTTCCACGAGCAGCCTGAGGGAATGAAGAGAGAGTGGTACTCAAGAGATGATGCAAAGAAATTTAGGTACTACAGCAATGGAGACTTGTTTAGGTCCAAAGCATTATCTTGGAAGGACACTCTCACGTTTGATTTCTCGCGTGGAGTGCTAGACCCAGAGGCGGTCCCTCTTCTCTGCAGGTCTGAATCATGATTGATATACTATTTATGTCGTGTTCCTATGTTATTTTGAAAGTGAAAGAGAACAGTTTTCCTTATAATTTCAATATAATTACAGTGGCGAGATATCTCGTATTCGATACTTCACTTTTTTTTTCTATTTATGATTTTCCCTTCTTTATACATATGGGTTCATTATTTCCACATGTATTTGGACTCGCGCATGTTGACCTTTCATCATCTTACTGCAGGACTGTTCAGATAAGAACGCGCGAATTGCGTCATACCATTTCATTGTAAACTTTTAGGACATTTGACTGTTCATTCGCACTCTAACGCAGTACCAGCCCTCGATCAAATTTCTTCCCACTTCCTTCATTTACTCGTTCGCATGTGGCTACTTGCCAACCTAACTCACTTATCTGCATAGGGTGTTTTCGATTCCCAGAACACATATTCAGTGGGCCAAGAAAGCATTTATTATTGTGAAAGTCTTGACTAATCCAAAACCAGAACCGCAACCGTGTATTATGTTAAAATGAGAGGAAAAGGTAGAAAACGTTCACGATGCTTTCTTTCCCTCCTCTGCAGAGAGCCGGTTTTCGAGTACGAAAGACACATCGAAAAATTGAAGATATCTCTGTCTGAACTACTATCAGAGGCATTAGGGCTTGATTCAGACTATCTTGGTGACATGGGATGCATGAAATCCAAGAGTATGGCAGGCCATTACTACCCAATTTGCCCAGAGCCAGAGCTGACTATAGGCATGATCAATCACTCAGATGCCTCATTTCTCACTCTTCTCCTCCAAAACCACCATGGAGGCCTCCAAGTCCGACACCAAAACCAGTGGATTGATGTGTCCCCAGTGCCTGGAGCAATCCTAGCCAACATTGGAAACTTCATGCAGGTACAAAGATCATTCACATTTGTCATTTTCCATGTATGTTTCCGATTCGATTAACGTCGAGTTATCTTCGAGTCAAAGAATGATTTTCGTTTTGCCTGATTTGTGGATGCAGCTTGTTAGCAACGACAAGTTCAAGAGCGTGGAGCACCGGGTCCTCGCCAGGCGGGCCGGGCCCCGGGTCTCGGTCGGATGCTTCCTTTTACCAGGAGAGATGCAGAAGTCGTATGGGCCAATAAAGGAGCTTCTCGATGAGAACAATCCACCCGTGTACAGAGAGATCTCTTTCCCGGATTATTTCGGGTATTACCTCTCCAGTGGCAATGGCCTGAATGGTGAATCTGTACTTCCTCATTTCAAAGTTATCGAGTCCAAGTAGAGAGTACAAAAATGTGTAAAAGCTTCATCGAAGGTGTTGGTGTTCGCATGAAATATGACGGCTCAATCTTTTCATTAGATATAGTAACAGGACTACAAGTGAACAGAATATTCAGAGTCCACATTGGTTACATAAGACTGAAACAAGAAATAGCCAAAATATGATTGCATGCCCCCTTCAATCTGTGTACACAGTTGAATCTCTTTGACCTCACTATGATAATAACTACTACTTTAATATAAGTTCTAAATTTGTAACGAGTTTCATTGTCTCTTTAAATCTCATCCAATAGAGCTCTCAAAGTCGATGTGGCAATCGCTCCAATGGCAAATTTTAGGACTGTAAATTTGCGTCATGGCATCATATTCGATTTTCGTCTCGTGTGTTTCGCTTCTTTCAAATTTCATAATGATGAAAAATTGTTTTTGGTAAAAAGAAGGCAACCAAAACTTATCAAGTTCTGTATATTTTGAGTTTGTCGAATTAAATTCGAATTTCTCTTGATAAGCCTGTGCTAGATACGACTTGAATATGATCCACTTACATCAAGTCTGCTTGTGATACGACACACTACATATCATTCAAACTTTGAGGATCAGTCTTAGTATTCCACGACACTGACCCTTGCGATAAAATGCCCAAATTGAGTGTTTCATTAATCGGAGAGCTCTCTTTTTAGGCTGCGAATGATAATCATTCCGTTTCTCTGTTTTTCAATTTTTCTATTCTTAAAAACAGGTTTGGAACATAAATTCGTTTGGTAATGCAATTTCATTTTTCTATTTCTGGAACAAATTTTGATTTCAGAAATAGGTTTGGAACAGAAATGAGAAATAAAAATTTTCTAATCCGGAACAAAAATGAGAAATAAAAAATTTTCTTATTACTCGCCTACGCTACTAGCCGGTCGCCCACCCACTGCCCACCCGCCGTTCGCCGGCCGTTGTCCCCCGCCGCCGCCTGCCGCCAACCGTCACCCGCCTCCCGCTTTTGCCCTATGACAGCTGCCTCCTACTGCCGTCCCCCACACTGGCCTGCCACTGCCTGCCCGCTGTTCACTCGCCAGTTGCCCGGGAGTGAGAAATTTTGTGCTGTTATCAAATATTTTTTTGTTTCGAGAACAGAAATTTGTGTCATTATCCAACGAATATTTTTACTTAGAAACTCATTCATGGAATAGAAATAGAAAAATATGGTCAGAAATTGATTTCTGAAACAGAATGGTTGTCATTCACGCCTTTAGTATCTAGGAATTTGACGATTAACACTATCTCATATTTGTCACACCCCAGCTTTATAGGTATAGGAAAAATGACACAGTCCTCCTTATGAGGATGCAGCCTCATACATAAGCAACATTAAATTATTATAAATAAAATATATCTAGATGTATGATAAAACAGCAAGTTGATTACAGGAACATTGTTCTAAAATCCCCCATTGACCAACAAACAAATTCCAACAAATACTATTTCAATGTAAGTGCAACTATATATAATCCAACTCCTAAATTCCCCACTGATACCACTCTTGTTCTATTTGCCGACAACTGTAGAACTTGAAAAAATAATTAAGATGAATGTTATAAGCAAACCACTATTCAGTAAGAAATAAAAATCTCTTGTAAGCAAATCGAATATCTATCATGCACATTTATAAACGGTACAATACACATATTTATTGAAATCTAGTATAATATATACATATATAGGGATTTCAAAAGGAACCACGGGAGCCAAAACCCAAACCAAACTCCAAATAAATAATTTCAAGTCTTTTCTAGTTGAGTTTCCTTTCTATTCGGCTAGTAAATAAAACAATGGGCTTCCGATGTTTCCATTCGGTTTAGTTTCAGGTCATAAACCTGAACCAGCCCGAAACACATTATTGAACATGTTTCGAAACCAAAATAATCACGGTAATCACTGAACACATTCATGAACATAGAAAGGAAGCCCAATGTCTTCCGCTGGCTCGTCCAATTGTCAGCCACTCCTTGCCATCATCTCCATCGTCGCGGGCATCTCCGTCATCGCTTTTGATTCTGTCATAAATGTTCTCAATTGACAACCTGTTCCCGGTGTCATCGTTGTTGTTCCTGTTCAAGGCTTGGTTTATGAGTACCCCTTAACAACCTTAGCAATAGTTGAGGGAGTGCAAAGGTGTTCCACAGATCGAACATGCATTTTTTTCAATAAGAAAAGAACGTATTCTATGCTGCAAACTTTGATAATGAAAACTCATCCAATGCTTTCATTTACTCATTCGCGGAGAGGCAGTTTTCTGAGTATCAGAACCACATGGCAAAACTGAAGACATCTCTATCCGAAATATTATCCCAGGCATTGGGGCTTGGTTCTGATTATCTCGGTTGTACTGGGTGTATGGAAGCGGAGATAATAATAGGCCAATACTACTCAGCTTGTCCTGAATCAGAATCGACTCTCGACACGATTAGTGACTTCAATTTATCGTTTCCGACTCTCATCCTTCAAGATCACCAAGGCGGCCTACAAGTCCTCCATGAAAACCACTTGGTCCATGTGGTTCCTTTGCATGGAGCGCTTCTAGCCAACATCGGAGACTTCATGCAGGTAAAGAAAGTTCCAACTCTTTTCTGACCTTGTGTTTTCTGGCCTACATAGCAAATACGAAATTGACCTCAAGATATGTCTCTCCGGAGTCAACTTCGATCGCCCTTCATTACATTAACTATGTAAGAGTCTAGACAATATTTTCGGAGTGGCCTGTGGAATGTAGTACGAACTTCCCACGATACCATGAACAACCATGTTACACACTAATAAGAGGACGACATGAAAGCGCACTGCATTTTGCGCCTGGCTCTCGGCATTCATCTTTGCCACATCTTTTGTAGTCATAACTCCTTTTCTGGCCTGATATGATGGTTGCAGATTGAACCAACGACAAGTTCAAAAGTGCGGAGCACTGAGTAATTGCCCAGCTGGTCGGACCCAGGGTGTCGGTCGCATGCTTTCTCACCCCGAGCGGGATGTAAAACGCCAGACCCTTTGGGCCAATGAAGGAGCTTCTCTCTAAAAACAATCCACCCATATACAAAGAAACCTCTCTTTTGGAATATGGCACCTATTACAAATCCCATGGCCTGAGTGGCAATTCAGCACTTCCTCATTCTAGGATAAGTGACTCCAAATAGAGCAGGGTTGTGGAAAATCCTGAATAAGTGTGTCTGGACTGATTATATCAGATATCTGAGTTTGTGGCAGGACTTTGTAATCACCTGTTTCGATTTGTGCAATAAAATCTTGCTCATCTAAAACAAATCAATATCGAAATCCATTCTTCCGATGCATTGTGGAATGTGACTATCTTCTTCAAATGATTGGCATTAAGTTTTGGCGCTTAAGAGTTTACCTCAAACTGTAATTGCATCTACAAGAACCTCGAGTTTTAGATACGAAGGAAGAATTGTCATTAATCATATTCAATATTGGAAAGAAGTGCACATTTAGGCATCAAACTTGCGCAAGTGATTCACAAATTGTCTATTAACAACAAGTAGATCTATAACAAGGGAATTAGTAATGTGTCAAGAAAACTTAGTACAAGAAGCCGTGAAAACACTTCTTGATAATGGAATTCGCAGACAACCAGTGAGGGATGGTCAGAACAAGTTTTACAAGTCATTTTCGGATGTAATTGAAGGCAAAAAGGGAAGATTTTGTGAGACTCCGCTTGGCAAACGGGTCGATTATTCGGGTCATTTTGTCATTGTCGTAGGACCCTCACTTCCATTACATCGATGTGGATTGCCTCGAGAAATAGCAGTAGAGCTTTTTCGGACATTTGTAATTTATGGGCTAATTAGACAACATCTTGCTTCAAACATGGAAGTTGCTAAGAGTAAAATTCAGGAAAAGGAGCCCATCGTATGGGAAATATTGCAAGAAGTTATGAAGGAGCATCTCGTATTGTTGAATAGGGCGTCTACTCTGCATAGATTAGGCATACAGGCATTTCAATCCATTCTACAATCAAGTCCTTGTACACATGAAACTTTTTCCCTACTAATTCTCTTTGTTACCAACTACAGCAAATTGAAACTAGCGTATCAATCTATTCCTGCCAAAAGTTTGTTGTTGAAATAAGTGATGGAAACACAGAACGAAAAGCTATTGAACATTAGCTTAATTGTTCTGCAACTCGATCAGCACAAATTGATCGTCAACAATTTACATCATATTCTTTACTAGCATCGACAGGCACATCGGCTTCAATTTGTCCGAGTAAGAGAATAATTGGCTCAATTAGACAAATTCTACAAGTTCAAAAACATGATTGCACAGCAAATTTGATAATGACTCGGAAAAAGAATGCAATCAGGAACCAAATGTGCGCTTTCTACTTGAATTCACCATTCGCTGGTCAGTGTTTGCAGCCGTAGCTATCCCAAGTCTCCGCTCGCAATCGTCCACTTGCGTGGGCTATGGGGCGAAAGCTTCGGGTGGGTTCCAGAAACCGCACCATTCATTCAGGTCACGGGTGCAGCTATCCCAGGTTTGAGTTGGCCTAGGTCCAAGCAACTTTGTGCATAAATGAATCTCATTTCGCATTTACATCTCAAATGAAGAAAAAAATGAGTTGGCATGTATATGTACACACAGCAACCTATGAATAGCTTGTTGTGTCCGGGGAGTCTTAGGCATTCACATGGTCACTGTTACACCCCGAAACCTATCAGGATGGGGGATGACAAGGCCGTCCTTCTATCCGAAAGACACAGCCTCAAACCATAAGGAATCCAACTCCCAAAAGTCCCCATGATATCGCTCTCGCTCTATTGGCTACTAACCAAGAAACCTGAAAGATTGGGGAAAGACAGGGATAAGTAACCACAGTTCAGTAAGTAGTGCGTATCTCTTCTAAGCAGATCGAGCAATCACTATGTATATATATAAAGTAATACTAAAACTTTAGAAACCAAATTCAGTATATAAAATACATATCGGATTACATAAGAGTTGTTTTATTTCATCAAGCTTTTGTACAAATAAGAAATACTCATTTAAACCATCATAAATATCAATGGTCAAGTTCATTGATCAATCTCTATTAAAAATCACGTCAATGATCTATTCCATTAACTAATCTCAAATCACATCACACGTCGATGGTCCATCCCATCGATTAATCTCATCAATCACACGTCGATGGTCCATTCCATCAACTAATCTTATGCTCATCATTAAACTATGATCACGTTTAACGCAGTGACAAAGGCGATCAAGTTTACCCCCCTTGGTTAGGTTTACCACTTATATAGCCGGCGGTTCGACCCAGAAAGATGTCTTGACAGTATGCATACTCCCCCCTTCAATGGGTTCTCGTCATAGCAATATGAGCCATCAAATAATTATTCTCCAATACTAGAAATCCAATCCAAAAAAGAATCTCATAAACCAAATAATTAACTTTTCACAACATAGCCCATTCGCGATTTTCTCAAACCATTTCTCAAATCATTCATAAACCAGTTTCACAATACAATACATATACGTAAACTTTCACGACACATTTTCATAATCCATTTTATAAATCACAATATGATTCCAAAACCATTTCATAAATCACAATACGTTTCCATAATCATTTCACAAAGCGATACATATATATAATTTCATAAACATAATTCGCAAATTGATGAGTAACCTTTTGTAACATTTTTCATAAAACGTTTCTCAAATCATCTTAAAACTCATTCCATAAACCATCTCGTAACATAATATATATATATATATATATATATATATATATATATATATATCCATTCGCAATATCTTTCTTAAAACCATTCTCAAATGACCAAGGAGTAGTAAATGCCCGATCTAGGCTTTTATGCAATAACAATGCTGCTATTTTAAGTTCCATATACATTTCAAGGCATGATTTTTATAAAATCGAAGAAGAGATAGCACCACTCACCTGAGAATGCCTACGACCAAACGACGAAGAATACTCGAACCGTCAAACTTGCAATCCTATCAAATAATCGAGTAAAATGTTACATTGACTGTGACTCGGCTAAATTAGGCTTAAACGCTAACATAACGACTCAAATCGCTCGTCCGAAGCGATTATCCAAAACCTTCCGCAACGCGGAGCTTGAACGCAAAATTTGGTTGCGTCATAATTTTCTCCACCAAACTCCATTCCAAGCAAGCTTATAGTCAATAGAAAGCCCATTCAAAGCACTACAATAACCCCAACTTGGCTAACCCAAAAGCAAGACAAAGGTGACGAAAATCGGCATGAAAGCTGCTGGTCGCGCACTGTTCATCACGCGTGCTTAACTTCAAAAATTCGTTTCGGGGAAACGGTAAATCCAAATTGAGTTCTGTAAAATCCCACAGCTCCATGATGCCATAAACTACCGATTATATATATATGCAGCTCAATGACTCAAAAATTAGACTACGCAGCTTGAATTTCGTTCAATTCCGAAATTTGAGCCCTAATTCGAAAAATACTCCGATTGAACGAATGAGGGGCTCGAATACTTATCGAGCATTGCGATACGAAGTAACTTCGGCTTGGCAAGACTCACGTGGCGAGTACACCTCTCTTTCTTCTTCTTCTTCTCTTCTTTCTTTCCTCTCTTTCTTTCCCGATTGTCCTGCAAGCTCTCGGTCTTCTCTCTCTCTCTCTAGGCTGTTTTTCCTTTATATAGCTGAAGTCCACTGCTTCTCTTTTATTCTTTTTGACTTTTCAACTCTTCTTTTCTTTTTCTTTTTTTTATTTTTGGATAAAAAGTACAAATATTACAGTCACAGCCTCACATTGGTCAGGGCTCAAATTCATCCAATCTGGATTAGGGCTTCAAACTTTGTCACTACAAGATCATGCAAACCTTGCCGAGTCATGGACAATTCATCACTCGCTGCAACCCGGGTTATGATAGAGAGAAAGAATTGCAGGAATTCGACGAGACCAAGGCCGGAGTCAAAGGCCTTGTGGACTCTGGCGCGACCAAGATCCCCAGAATCTTCATCTTCCCACCCGAGAACTTGCACGGTTTGTCAACTGATGCAAACAGGACGGGCATCCAGTTGCCAATCGTCGATCTCAAAGGCTATCGGGATTCTCGGCGGGGAGATATCATCGATGGTATTCGCGAAGCATCAGAGGCATGGGGTTTCTTTCAGATAATCAATCACGGGATTCCGCTCGACGTGATGGACAGCATGTTGGAGGGTGTGAAGAAATTCCATGAGCAACGAGTGGAACTGAAGAGAGAGCTGTACTCTAGAGATGGTACGAAGAGAGTGAGGTACTTTTGCAATGGAGATCTGTTCCTCTCAAAAGCAGCGAGTTGGAGGGACACTGTCATGTTTGATTTCCAGGATGGTGGCCTAGACCCAGAGGCTGTTCCTCCTATTTGCAGGTATGTGTATCACTTATGAAAGCTAAAATTGGAGTTGCTACGTGAGATGTGAACAGTTGTGGCCATTTCTCTTACTAAGGACAGGTTGAGGTTCAATTTAACATCCTCTGTAACTGTATTTTCAAAAACCCAAAACCGTGCAAAGCGGATCATTCAGTGTAATGCATGTCTACACGGTTGAAAGCCCGGTTTTTGAGTACCCTTTAACAACCTTGGTAATAGTTGAGGGAGTGCAAAGGCGTTCCACAAGTGGAATATGCATTTGGTTCGATAAGAAAAGAACGTGTTCTTTGCTACAGACCTTGATACTGAAAACTCACACACAATGCTTTCATGTGCTCGTTTGCAGAGAGGCAGTTTTCGAGTACGAGAAGCATATGGCAGAACTGAAGGCATCTTTAGCTGAACTACTATCGGAGGCATTGGGCCTTGGTTCTGATTATCTCAGTGGCACCGAGTGTATGAAATCGGAGACGGTCCTAGGCCATTACTACCCAGCTTGTCCTGAACCAGAGTTGACTCTCGGTACAGTCAATCACTCGGACATATCGTATCTGACTCTTCTCCTTCAAGACCACCACGGTGGCCTCCAAGTCCTACATGAAAACCACTGGGTTGATGTGGTTCCCGTGCATGGAGCACTACTAGCCAACATTGGAGACTTCATGCAGGTAAAGAAAGTTCCAACTTTTTTCTGACCTTATGCTTTCTGACCTACATGGCAAATACAAAATTGACCTCAAAATATGTCTAGCTGGAGTCGAGTTATATCGCCTTTCATCAGATCAACAACTATGTAATGAGTCTGGACAAAATTTCTGAGCGACCAATGGAATGTAGTACGATCTAAGCATGATAGCTTGAACGCTTGAGAAGAATCATAAGTGAAAAAACATAGCCATGTTGCGAGGCACGGCTTTATTTCAACTCTTGATCTTAAACAATCGTGCCATGCACTAATTAGAGGACGACATGAAAACACACTGCCTTCTATGCCCGGCTCTTGGCATTCATCTTTACCCCATCTTTTGAAGTCATCACTCCTTTTTCTGGCCTAATGCGATGGTTGCAGATTCTTACCAACAACAAGTTCAAAAGCATGGAGCACCGAGTACTTGCAGCGCAGGTCGGACCCCGTGTTTCCGTCGCGTGCTTTCTCTCCCCAAGCAGGACGGAGAAAACCAAATCCCTTGGGCCAATAAGGGAGCTTCTCTCTGAAAATAATCCGCCCATATACAAAGAAACCTCTCTTTCGGAATACGTCAACTATTACATATCCCATGGCCTGAGTGGCAATTCAACACTTCCTCATTTCAGGATAAGTGACTCCAAATAGAGCAGGGTTGTGGAAAATCTGAATGAGAGTACCATGACTGGTTATATCATGTATCTGAGTTTGTGGTAGGACTTTGTAACTACCTGTTTTGGTTTGTGCAATACAATCGTACTTGTCGAAAACAAATCAGTGTCAAATTTAATTCTTCTGACGCAAAGTGGAGTGTGACTATGTTCTTCAATTGATTAGCATTAGGTTTTGGCGCTTACCAGTGTCCCTCAAACAGTAGTTACATCTTCAAGCACCTCGAGTTTTAGAATGCGATGGAAGATTCATTGTAATTAATAGTAAATATTGGAAAAAAGTGTACATCTTCTCATTAAATTTGCACTAGTGATTCTAAAATTTAATGTGGTCCTTGTACTTAATAATTTTTTACCCATCAAGTCTCTTTGTTACCAACTCCATCAAATCCAAACCAGTGTGTCAATCTATTACAGCGTGAAGTTGATGTCGAAATAAGTGATGGAACTATAGAATGAAAAGCTACTGATTGCTTGTTCTGCTACTTGATCTGCACAATATAATTGTCAACAATTTACATCATATTCTTTACCAGGGTTGACAACCACGTAGGCTTCAATTCATCCGAGTCAGGAAAGATTGGCTCGATTGGACAAATTCTACAAGTCAAGAACTTAATTGCATGACGAATTTGGTAAAGAAATTTGAAAAAGAGTGCAAATTCATGAACTAAATGTATGCTTTTTCCTTGAAAGTTTCACCATCCATTCTTCATTGGAAAATGACCATATGTTTATCTGAGGTATTACCAATGATTTTCTGATTGCCTACAAAATGCGAGGTCGTCATTTTCCTTCATACCATCCACATAGACTATTTTCACCCCCAAAAGTCTTCTCCGGAGGGTGAGAACGGAACACAGAGTAGATGCACAATCGTGTTCAGGTGACAAATCACGGGCAAATCAATTCAATTCACCGTTAACTGCACATCATTCACAAATGTGCCCAATGTACCATGAACAGAAAAGAGAGTGAACTTATTTCCGGCATAACTATAAAACGCGTGTATTTTAAGTTCCTGCCATTTGGTACGTGTTGGAGAAGGCACCGAGGAGCAAATGCTCATATCTTGCTGAACTCACCCTCAATGCAACTGCATATAGCAGCAAAACAGCGGAGTGAAGCAAGAAAACTTGAAACTTAGAGCGTTGGAAACATCATAACTCCCATCATGATAGGTCATTCAATGCACAGCGGCTCCAACATCGAAATATTTCAAGGAGGATGCGACTCGTGCAAACTCAAACCCCATTCACGTGCTCATTGGTGTGTAACAGGGTCAACACTCATCTTCACAAATGAACTCACCAGGAAAACAAGGATTCCTCCCGATTGCCAAGGAGAAATAAAACACAAAGGTCAAACTAGAATTGGACCAATCCATGTCATGGATGACTTACGTGCACATATTACAGAGCATCTGCTGGATTAAGGCCAAGGGCTGCACCTTGCGTTTCAAGCTGAAGTCTGGGTTTGCGATATTTGCGAGCGACCAGAAGACATCCATTCTGTGGATGCTTATTTTGTTGAGTGTGACCAGAAAGAACAGAATGCAACCAATATTAATGTATTTCATTCTTGAGCAAACACATCATTCAGATGTCAAGATCAACCACAAAGCATATCCGTATCTTCTCACCATGTTCTTCGGTGACACCTCTTTAAGATTGTCAGACCCAAGCTTCTAATTGCTTCTGCTATCTCAAGAAAATGACTGCACTCTTCACACGACATCTGCACACAACAACCACATTTGGATGGTACTCATCAGTTAATTCAAAAATGGTATTTGAGGACCAAAAGAAAGTATAAGGATTATGTTAAAAATTGAAGCTCCCTCCCACCACTACCCACTTCATTCTGGAGATGCATGGCAAAAGCAGTTATCATCAAACCCTTTTTTTCTGGAAATAATCATTGACTTTCCTCCCGTAATCACAACATGGTATTAAACAAGATCTCTACATGATAACATGTCCATACCTCCGCATGCAGCTGGCTTCTTACAAAGATTTTCGACCCTGATTGAGTAACCCTTGAGATCGATGCCCACTCCACAGTCCAGCTCGATCCTGGTTCATTATTGGAGGTTCCGCGTAAGTCTGGTTCATTGTGATGGAGCTGTAAAATTCAGAATATGGAGCATAGTTCAGATTAAATCTCATTTTAAATATGTAGTATACGTGCAATGTGCCCTAGATGTCTAATTGATAGGATGACCTTGTCCAGATATCTATGAAGATGAATATGTGGAAAGTAAAATGAGCTGACAGAAAAAAAGCATGTCAAGAAGATGCCGATAAACTGCAGGCTGTTTTCATCTACAGTTTTTAGGAGAACAGTCTTTTCACCTTCGATTCGGCGCACTTGTCTTGCTTGCCAGCGTCCTAAGTGATGCTCTGTAGAAAAAGCATATGCTTGATTATGTGCTCTAACAGTGCATCGATACTACACTGCAATTGTTTGAAATTTTGTTAGTGCAGAATGGAACATATAATCCTGACAAGAAACAAAACCATCAAAAGCAAGAACACAGCAATTACATTTGAAATTGCTTTTGACCCACTGGGCACTAACTCTCTTAGTTTCTTTAGAAAATCTTGAATCAGTTGTCTATCCCTAGGCCTGGGCGTAAGATTTTCCCCAGGTCTAGCCCTCTTTTGCTGTTCTTCGCAAGCTCCAATGACCTGTGAGCTCACCATGTGAAGTTTGTCAAGAAAAGGAAATACTTGTGGAAGACTTAGCAAGACTTCTGTCTGATTAACTTAAGCTTGGTCCTTCCTGATGGGGTTGTATCACAAACCGAATCAGAACGATCACGCAAAGAATAGAAGAAAATTAAATGATGCACGAGTTTACCAAGGTTCACCCCCGAATAGGGCTACGTCTTGCAAAGGGATTCCACTATAATTTAGGTTTACAACCACAGCCACTCGTTACCATAATTTCTCATACGAATACAATATATATAGGACTTAAAATGGGCTCAAAGCCCAAGCCTATCTGAATCCCTTTAATCCCACAACAAACGGACCAGCAAATCCGATGTTGTTTCGGGGGCGCTGCCCCCGTGTCCGGTCAAGCGGAACCCCCACCCGCTATATGGTCAGTGGGACCCCCGAAACTCTCGTATTCCGTGCGCAGGGGTCACATGTCGTCGGATTATACTTCGATTTCCCTAAACTCATGTGAGCATGCCCGGTATGAGAAACAAGGGTCCCCGAAGTATTCGCCAACTCCAACACTTCCCTATAATAGGGCTGATCAATTGAATAACCACCGATTGAGCAGTGACCTTAGAAGGGCTGGAGCTTGAAGCTTATGGAACTCTTCCTGAAACCATTGGAGACCATAACGATTTGGAAATGATGCCTCATTTTTCTCGTCATGACCACTCTTGACAAACTTTAGCCGCTACAGCTTCCAGAAGAAACTCTGAGTCTGATTCATTCGTTAAACAGCTATTCCTGATCCCTGCTGATATCTGCAATGGTATTTCAGCTTCTGCTCTCTCTTCTTCCCAAACGGTTATTGCCTATTTGCATGCTCACAAATAAGGTACAATTCAGAATTAGATATGAGATATTTGCCATCATGTTCCACTGTTGTGTAGGTGAATATCAGTGTCAGAGTTTCAAAGCCTGAAACTAGACTTCGTTGCCTTGGTCGCATTTCAGGCCCTCCATCGATATATTGGCATTCTATGTGAAATATGGTGTGATAATTGCTAGTTAATCGAAGCAATTTATTTTTCATTGCTGATATAAAGTCAATGCACCTGATAAATGCTTGAGAGAATAATAAAACACTTCCCTTATTTTATTAATTAGGCCATGGTCATCAGCATGTGGCCAGATTGGACGTTTCATTTGACTAAAATTCTAATCCAGGCACTATCCGGTGATAAGAGAACCTTTCCATCTCCGTTGATCCGACTGGCACCTACGGGCTCTCCTTGTTTCTGCAAAAAATTGTAAATAGCCTCACAGAAAGGTGCAAATTCAATCCCCTTACTAGTATTCAAAATTTCCCCTTACAAAGATGCAAACCTTGCTCAGTCATGGAGAATCCTTCACCTGTAGCGGACCACATTACGACAGAGTGAAAGAATTGCAGGAATTCGACAAGACCAAGGCTGGAGTCAAAGGCCTCGTGGACTCTGGTGTGACCAAGATCCCTAGGATCTTCGTCCACCCGCCCGAGAACTTGCACGGTTTGTCATCCGACGCGAACCGGACCGGCCTCCAGGTCTCTATAGTCGATCTAAGAGGCTATCAGTATTCTCGCCGGTGAGATATCATAGATGGTATTCGCGAAGCATCGGAGGCTTGGGGGTTCTTTCAGATAATCAATCACGGGATTCCGCTTGATGTGATAGACAACATGTTGGACGGTGTGAAGAAGTTTCATGAGCAACAAGTGGAAGTGAAGAAAGAGCTGTACTCTAGAGATCGTACAAAGAGAGTGAGGTACTTTTGCTGGGGAAACTTGTTCCTGATGTAGCTAGCAAGGATCACCTAGAGGGGGGGTGAATAGGTGATGTTAAACAATTTTTAACAATTTAAGCGGAAATAATTGACCACAGTTGAGTCTGAATAAAATTTAGATTCAAAACAGTTTATATAGACAGTGCTCTTGATGTGCAGTGTGTAAAGTAAGAGATAAAGGATAGAAAAACTGCACACAAGTTTATAGTGGTTCGGCTTATAGCAAACCTACGTCTACTCTCCCACGCTGACAGCCTACTGGCTAGATTTCACCATGTAATCAAGAGGAATTACAGCTTCTGAGTGATAGCACTCTTGTATATGATAGGACTCTATCTCACATAATTACTTTTACAAAGTGTTCCTCAAGATCTTAATGTTTAACTCAAGAAAGACAAGAGAAAGGATCGGAGTATGCTCAGATTTTGGACTTGTTGATTCTCGATTTCGTTCTTCCTTTTGCTTCTCGTAGGTCTCCTTTTATACTCCTCCACTACTAAACTAGCCGTTGGACAGTCTTCAGAGGATCATCTTTCAATCTTCATCTTGGACAGATTTGTATAAAATGGATTGAGTAGCCGTTGGTTGACAAAATCTGAATCCCGTTGATTCTGGTCGCCCATACAATCAGAATCTTGGTTTCCATAAGTAGAACTTTATCCGTTGTAATGCATACTTGTCATAATGTTTGATTGTCAATCAATTAGATTGAGATTGAGTCAATCAAAACCTTCGTTTTGTGAAATCCATGCTAGATCACTAGCTGTTGTGATTCTTTTTGAATGAGTTTTGCTTCTGCGTCTGAAAAACTTCAGCGTCTGAAAAATTTCTGCTTCTGCGTCTGCATAATTACTGCATCTGAATAATTTCTAATTCAAAACTTGAGTCAGCGTAGGTCTTCAGTAAAATCTGAATATTTTATAATTAGAGTCTGAAAGACTTTTATGGTAAAGTCTGAATATCTTATGTCTGAGTCTGAACTTTAGTTCTAAAAACTTGTAAAGTCTGATATTTCCTTCTGAACTTCCAGAATATATTAACCTGGAATGGAATGCATGTCAGATTCACAAGATAAACATAAAGAGTTTTGTCAGCTTCAAAATTCATTAGGAGTTTTCCTCAATAATCTCCCCCTTTTTTATGATGACAAAACTTCTATGCAGATTCAATCAATGTCAAATAAATTTCAAGAAAATAATCATATTAAGCGCATGAAACACAGATATATAAATGTGCAAACTCGTAAGATCTGTGTGTTTCTCTTGCTTTGAGTATAACCTATATAACCTGCATATTGAAGTGTTAGTACGACAATATATCTGTATAATCTCTCCCCCTTTTTGTCATCAGCAAAAAGAATAAATTAATAATAAGCAGAATAAAGTACTGATATAAACCATCCAAACAATTTAACAAAGGCAAATGCTAAGAATACAGATCCAAAATGGTTTAAAAAGAGGGTACAAAAAACAGATTATTTCTTTGATGGGGTTCGAACAAGTTGAAAGTTCTCCAGGATAGAAACAGCTTCTTCAATCTTGGTAGATCATTGACCCATAGCTTTCTCCATATTTGTTGAACATAGAGCAATCGCTTCCCCTATTTCTGCTTTGTCTTTTTCTGCTTGAAGACGTTGAGTCTGATTGTTTTCCTCAATAATTTTCTGAAGATTCTTCACGTCGTCTTCAAGTGCAGCTTGTTTTTCTTTTATTTCCAGCAGAAGGGTTAGAATGGTCATGTTTTTTGAAGTCTGTCCATGAACATTTTTTGGTGCTTGCTGTTCGAATTTATCCCGTCTCTGTTGGAATCTCCCCCTGAAAATCTTCATGTTCTGTAGTAGTATTTGCATTCAAGGTATCTTTAGGATTAATTGGAGATTGACTTACATCTGTCCCCTATGGAATATCATCCTGTTGATGCAAATGTGAGTCCCCAGATACTGGTTCTGAAACCTTTTTAGTAGGTTCTGAAACATGTTATGGACCAACAGTCTGTCCTTTTTCAAGGTGTTCTGATTCATCATCTTCATCTCGGAGAAGAATTCTTCTTTTCTTCTTGTACACCTTGAATGGGCTTGGAGAGACGGTCTGCTTTCTTTCTTTTTTGTCTTTGTCATTTTTCTTCCCAACAGATGTTGCTTCTGACTGCTGAGCATCCTTTCCTCTGGCTGTGCTTGCTCTTTCCTTTTTATCATCAAAATGCTTAAGATTCATCTTGGTAAGCATTTTTTCTCCAACAAACATCCAAGGTACAAAAGTTTTGCAAAAGTCATCAGGAATAGTTATCTTTAAAAACATAAAGATTCGAGAGATGAGTGCACCATAAGGAAGTTGTCCCTTGTCCTTTTGGAGAGTTTTGTACATGTGGAAAATGATGATATGTGGAAGAGAGAAAGACTTTCCATTTAGAATAGCCCAAATAAGCTTGATTTCAGACTTGGACAGGTCAGTTTTGGAAGCAGCTTTAGGCTTCAAGCAATTGATGATGATCTTATACAAGATCACAGTTCTTTTGGTCAGATCAGAATATGAAATGTGGCGTTTAGAGCCTATAGCAAGATTCTGATTCTCTGAAGCCGCTTTGGAAGCATCTTCTATGCTCACTAGGGGTGTGCATGGTTTGGGTGGGCGGTTCCCACCCCGGAACCGTGGATCGCCCTCTACAGGACCGGTTCCAAAAATTGGAACCGAGAACCGCCCATCGGTTCCATGGACCCGCCCGAGAACCGGACCGCCGGTCCGGTCCGGTTCTTGGGCGGGTCCATGGAACCGGTCTCAACAAGTTTTCCTAGACAAATAAAAAAAAAATCTGTGGACCAACATCGGATCAACGGAACAAAAGGAAAAGAACATAACTTTTCATACAATTCTTACACTATGATCGATTATATTAACCACATCATCCATAAATCAAGTGGGTCCCCATTAATTATTGGGAAAAATGACCAAGGTATCCCAACTACACAAGAGCTTAAGACATGATAACAAATTTCTTCTTTTTTTTTTAATTTTTTTATCAGATTTTTTAATTAAAAATTAAAAAATAAAATATATTATTATTATATTACCGGTCCGGTCCATGTGGGCGGGTGGCCGGTTCCACACCGGGAACCGAGAACCGGCCCAAACAGTACCGGTTCCAAAAAATTGGAACCGGGAACCGGTCCAGTTCCCTTGGGAACCACCGGTTCCGGGCGGTCCGGGCGGATCCCGGTTCTTTCGCACACCCCTAATGCTCACTTCCAATGGAGTAAACTTGTAATTTTTTGCTCCAATAATCAGAGCCAGATCTTCCACTTTCAAATCATACTTTTTATCACCAACAGTGAATCAAAGCCAATTGGGTGACAGAATAGAAAGATTTGAGTAGAAATAAGCAGACAATTTTGCATAGACATGTGCATATTGCAGAAAAAATTCATAAATACCCAATCTTTCAAATAGATGTTTCACAGAAATACCAGCCTTTTCAAGATATTCGAAATCCACACTACGGTGATTCATGACCCCTCGAGCAAGTAGCAACTGATAGTAGACATTGTGCTCTGTACTTCTAAATAAACCTCCATTACCTTGCACACCAGATACAATTCCAACCTTCATCTCAAAATTATGAAAGAATCTAGCATCATCATCAGGAATCGTAAATTTAGATGAACTGGTAGACTTAGGGCTTATGTGAACGGATTTCTTGTCAGTGGGAGTGGATGGTTCCCCGACTTTCTCTTTTCCCTTTCTGGAAGAAGTCTCCTTTGGAGTGGTACTGGCCTGATCATAATCAGTTCTAGAGGAAAATTGCGAATAACTTCGCATAAGACTTTCTTCAGTGTGAAAGCCGTTATCTTTCAGACACTGACGAAGAACTGATGCAGAAGCTTTATTGCGTTTTAACCTTTCGTATGCTTTCCACACAAGTTTGATGCTACTGAAACGAAAGTCAGTTTTACCCATGGTTTTTGGTGGAGACGATGGTTGTGGTGCTTGTGGTGTCGCTTCTGAAGGGTCTTGGTGGTGATCCAATTCCGTGTCTAATATCTCCATGAATTCTACCGGTGCTGAAGACTTTGAATCTTTGTTGAGAATACGCGAAGATCATCTTTTGAAAGGCATTGTGATTCACAGAGACAAAAAGATTTGATCTTGGAGAAGGAGGAGAAGTAGACTCTGAGTGTCGTGATGGTCGAGAGTGAAAAGGTTTCGTACTGATAGGGTTTTATAAAAAGAGGAGGACAGTTTTTGGAAAGAAAAAACCTCTTTTAGAAATTATAAGAAGTGATCCTATTATATAGGAAAAAAATATTTTAAGCACAAACAATCAATCAGATAAATTAGAATATATACCTGATTTGCTTCCGAAAAATGCCAAGTAACAAATACGAAAATATCCTGCCAGAAAAGCGAAAAATATACCCGCCAAAGAAATCAATCCAGCCGCATACACGGAAATCTCTCCTTCGGAATACGTCGCCTATTTCAAATCCCATGGCCAGAGGGACAATTCAGCACTTCCTCATTTCAGGATAAGCGATTCCAAATAGAGCAGAGTTGTGGAAAAGCCTATTTGAGTGCGTCTTGACTGGTTATATCTTAAATCTCAATTTGTGGCAGGACTTTGTTACTACCTGTTTCGATTTATGCCATAGATCTTACTCATCTAAAACAAATCTGTGTCAAAATTGATTCTTCTGATGCATAGAGGAATGTGACTATTGTCCTTCAAATGATTAGCGTAAGGTTTTGGCGCTTATGAATTTCCCTCAATCTGTAGTTACATCTTTGACCACCTTAAGTTTTAGATGCGAAGGAAGATTCATCGTTTGTGATATTGACTATTGGAAAAAATGCAGATCTAATCGTTAAAACTTGCACAAGTGATTTTCAATCAAATCCTTGCAATCAACTATTTTCCCTACTTGTTCAAAGCTCAAACTCCTTCAACCGAGCAACCTAGTTTTTCAGCCTCCTTCAAACGGAGGGAGGCTGGCAAGAACAATACCAATTTGAACGACGGAGTCAA